CATATTAGTTTTAATCATGAAGTAACTTTGAAGATACTAAGTATCCTAAATATTAGATTCAAAATATATAGAATACTTTGAGCCATCCCTAATATAGAGAGTTCAGCTACTTTATTTTCAAGTAATACTGACTATCCTATCTGCAAAGGGTGTATGATCTTCTTGACAGTCTTAAAATTGAAATTCTGCAAAAACATCATCAACAATACTGTCAATATTCAGGAAGGGAGCTTATCTCTAATCTTATCTGTGAACACCTCCTGACCAAGCACTGCTTCACATTCCTCCTTATATTCTTCTTAAAACCTAACTTAATAAGGCCCTGAGATGCAGCATGTAGTCAAATATTAGCTGAATGGATAAATGACCATTAAGAAATATTTCATGAGCCACTTGAATTAGATTTTTGTGTTTTACTCAGGATGCCAAAGAAATAAATGTGAGTCATATGTGCAACAGACATCTCTAGGCATTAGCAGTGTTCTCATTTAGCAACTCTCAGTTATTTCATGGCCTCAGAGAACTAATGTTATTCATGTGCTAAATGTGCAGTTCTCTGCAATGCTATGTCTAACTCTGTTCCTTTATGTGCTACTCAGAAAAGGTTATCAGAATGCAAATCAGGGAGAGGGAATTATGTAAAGATGACATGGACACATACACATACACACAAAGTCTATACATACATGTGTCACATGTACATTACATATGCACTTAAGCACGTGTGTTTCCCTACTAAAAGGTGATACAGTATAAATTTAAGTGAACTATCCAAGGTTAGTTCACAGAAAATCTATGGTGTAGAGACCAAAATTCTCTCTTTCACCACACTCCTTCACACATCTATCATATGCTTTACTCATTTTCACATGCCAGTCAATTATGCCCTATTAAGATTTAATTTAAAATTATTTTTTATTTTATTTTATTTTATTAAAGATTCTATTTATTTGTCAGTGAAAGAGAGAGAGAGAGAGAGAGAGAGAGCACGAGTGGGGGAGGGGAAGAGGGAGAAGCAGGCTCTCCACTGAGCAAAGAGCCCAATGTGGGACTTGATCCCAGGATATTGGGATCATGACCTGAGCCGAAGGCAGATGCTTAACCAACTGAGCCACTGAGGCGTCCCTGAATTTAAAATTCTTAACATGAAGAGCAAGGTAGAAAGTGTCTACTTTCCCATCAGCTGATTCCTCCATCATTTCTAGGATGTGACTCTAAATGGAGAAGATACCCAATCTTGGTTCAGATTCCCCCAGAAGCATACCTTGAGATAAGGATTGGAGCATAAGTAGTTTATTTGGGAACTGATCCCAGAAAATACCAGTAGGGGGAGGGTGGGAGAAAGCCAATAAAGCTTGTAAAATCAAACCAATTACAACTGTGGGCAACATGTTTCAGAATTATCCCAACCAAGGAGTTAGAAAGCTAAGGTATTTATCTAACAATTCCTTATCTACTCATTTACTCGGTGGCACTTTTGGCTTGCTCTCCAAGACCTGGGGATCCCCTGAGACTGGGGCGGTGGGAAGGGGGGGGAGGTGACAAAACAAAAAACAAAAACTTCAGGCAGAGAATATTTATAGAAAATAGCCTAGAGAATACAGACAAAGCACTAAATGTATCTGTCGGTATAAACCATCTACCTATTCTTCTATGAAAGAATGCTTTCTCTTCAGCTCCATAGGAATTGAATCCATGATAACTGAATCGAATAAGAAGGCTACTCAGGCTCAGTTGCAAAGAGGAATTTGTGAGCACAATAAAGACAAAAGAGATGACTTTATTTACTGCATATTAATTTAGAATTCTGAAGAAAAAATTAAAAAAGAACTGAAAACTGCTAATCAGAAATGAAGAAGGGAACTATCATTTAAATGAGCACCTAAAGTGTGCTAGATGCTGCAAAATTATTCTTACAAATTCAAACAAATTAAATGGAAAGAACTTAGGAGCTTCTTGAGGAATCTGAGTCACAAAGAACAGAACCCAAGTGTCATCTGTGCACTTATAAGATATATTATCAGGATAAGCATTTAATTTCCCAGAAACTTAGTTCCCTAGTTCCTAAAATACACACACATACACACATAAACCCTTACACACACACACACACATACACACCATTAACGTAGTTAACATATTAGATTAGCCAGTGCTTAGTGCCAACTAAGTGTTAGTTTTGTACCTTACAGAAATAAGATTATTGAATTTCATAATGGTCAAATGACTTGCCCAAAAAGACTCAGCTAGTGAGAAAATAAGCAAAGGACTGAAGGCTGAATCACTATTAACCCAAGGATCTTGTCTTCAAAGAAGGACAACAAATGGAACTAAAACTAAATATTAAGTTCTCATGAAGCCACAAAATTGGTCAATGGATGAACAATTTTTTTAATGTTTAATACCTCATTTTAATAGTAAATATGGCCTAGATTTTAAGTTAGACTTGGGCTAGCATAAACTTTTATTATAATAGATATCTTAACTAAATGTGTAAAACTTTTTTTAATATAGCAGTGACTTACTTGGGTAGTATTCAACTAACCAAAATTCCTAATTACTGAAATATACTGCAGCATCCTTAGAAAAATGAAGGGAACCTCAAGAACAATTAACATCTTGGATACAATATTAAAAAACAAACAATATTATCACCACCAAGTCCAAAATATATCCTCTGTGAATTCAGTCCATCTCACATTTTCTAGAGTGAGGATTCCTATTCTACATAATGATCCTAAGGTGCTGAAGTAATAAATATAGATTCCATCCCTATAATCATGATGGTGCATTTGATAAGCCATTTAACCAGGCTAATACAGTTTATCTAAATGTCAACTAGCTTTGCAATTGTTTAAATATTCATTTCTTTATCTTCAGTCACCCAGAACACCTTCTTTTCCAAGCATACTGGTAAACTGGCATTTGTTCTTTTAATTCTTAACAAATATATGTGTTCTGCCTTAAAAAAGAGTTTGCATTGAAACATTATCCTCTGAGAAACAACCATACCCCTTTACATTACTAATACGAGACCAAAGAAGAAGTCCAAAATTGATGCCCAAGATAAAATACTCTGTGTGTAGACACAGGAGTTGGTATTGGAGCTGAAATGGTGAGGAAGAGAAGGAGAGTATGAGAGAAGGAAAGATGAGATTTTTGAATAGGACCAATATGGATCTTTTATGTAATTAAAATAGAACATTAATACCAAACTGAACTTAAAGGAAATATTTCAATTGAGTTAAGAGCCTAGTTAGTATACATAGATCATTTAAAAACAAAAATATATGGCATGTGATACATGAAAGGACTATTCCAGAAAATACTAAATTCAATGAAACATATAATGTGTCTTTTAGATAATCAGATAGCCGGAGGAATTTCAGAAGTTCGACTAGGCAAAGCAGTGATGCTATAGATAAAACACATGAGCAATATTTTGCTAGTGATAAGCATTCTAGTTTTGAAACTTAGTTTTAATCTTGTGACATATATACTAGTTAGGTTAAAAATATATTAACTGCAAAAAGGTTGGATCATGCTATACAAACACCATTACTAATCACAGTCACAGTTACCGGTTCAAAGTGAGTATTTTCAGTTGACAAGGTCATTTTCCCTAACTACCTGTTACACATTTAAACCAATTGTCTATCTATAACTCCAAATGTTTAAAGAGCATAATAAAATTCCCAGTAGCAGGTGAACACCTTAACAAGACAACAGTAACAAGAAGTAAATAGGTGCAAGAGATTTTAAGTTTCTTATGTGCTTTTTCAATCAACTTGGACACATTTTCAAATTTGAGGAACACCTAAAGGGAAAAAATGAAAATTATATGCCACCAACACTGCGTGCTATTTGGATGTATTGCACCTCTCGTAGCAGCCTTATACACACCCTAGGAAAGCGCAGATAGACAAAAGAGTTAAGTACCCAGTAAATGCAATAAATGCCTTGCAAGGATAAGAAAATGAAAAGGAAGAGCTCCTTGTCTATGGCAATTGCACTATACAGTCAAAATGGAGAGACATGTCAAAGAATCCCTCTCACTCCCTCCCCCAGTCTCGGGCTCCCTTTTTCTTCTCCCCTTTTCCCCCTTCAGCCTCCCCATCTCTGTCTCATTTTCAGCTGTGCTGCCAGAGCGAGACTGCACCGCACCACTCACCTGTCGTCGTTCTGCCATCCTTGGTCCCCTAGCAGCAAATCCCGAAACCTGTACCTGGGAGGCAGAGGGGGCACTTCGCTCTCCAAATCAACCATCCTTCCTCAAAGAGTGGAAAACATAAAACGACGAATGGAGGAGAGAAGGGAGAGAGAAAGAAAATTCTGCGGAGTGGAGGGAGAGGACTAACAAGATGCGGGGGGCCACAGAGGGACGGGGAAGGGAAGGGGCCTGGGAGGGGGAGGGGTCGGCTCCGTGCCGGAAGCTGAGGCTGAAAGGGGGCTGGCTCCTCTCTCCAGAGGGTGTGATGGGGATGATGCAAACCGAGCCCAGGAGCAAAAGTCTGGCTCTGACAAGAATCTACGCTGCCGAAGAACCGCCCCCTGGCTCGGCACCGCCTCTGGTCCCCAGGACTCGGGGGAGGCGGGAATGCAAAAGTTACTTCGCGGAAAAAAAAAAAAAAAAAAAAAAACGAACACGCGCGGTACCTAGAAAGAGGGGAAGGGGCGTGCGCGCCGCGCGCTGGGGAGGCACTTTCCTAAAAGGCAGGGCGAGGAGCCTCCTCCGAGGGCAATCCCGGCAGCGGGTCCCCGCGCGGGCGTGCACGCGGCACAGCCCGGAGCGGGCGCGAGGGGGGACCGTGGGTTTGGTCCCAGCTGCGGCCAACCCGGCTCTCCCCGCCAGAGCCTTCGCAGCTGCCGCCGGGGGCCGAGCCAATGAGACTCCCCCTCATTAGCATAACACCATGACGGCATGGAGGTGCCTTGGGGACAACCAATGGGGGCGAGCCTAATTAGCGGATTCCCGGCCTCCAGACCCTTCTCCCGGAGGCGGGGGCCACAGAGTGTCGGGAGCGTTCCCAGGTGCCCCACGCGCCTTGGCTGTGCTCGCCTTCAGCTCGGGTAAGCGGGGTGGAAAGTGCACGAACGTGGAGAGGGAATCCCCGTTCCCAGCCTCAGGAAAGCCCCTTTTTTTTTTTCTTTTTTTCTCACAGTCTGAAAGAAAGGAAGGTGTTTCCCGGATTCTGGATAAGAATGAAGGGGCCACTTTAGGCCGCTGAATAGAAACATTTTGATGATGGCTGGGAAAGCACATCGAAACGCATGGAGGACCATGTACTAGCAGTGTCAATTAAATTACTGTTGCTATTAGTAGCGCTGTGGGCTTCCAGGTTGCATGGCCTTAGCCGTCGGAATGCCCCTCTTAGTGGCCCACGCTTTCAGAGGAAGAAGTGAATCCAAGAGTCCAGAGTTGGTTTTACAGTATCAGCCGCTGTACAAGCCCTAGTTCTGTTTGTGCAGATTGTCTTCTGCCAAGCTCTGATTTCATCAGGGTATACGCAGACACTCAGTACTTAACCACCTGAGAGGCACTGGGCCTGAAGACACAGAGACTTTGCCACCCATCCCCCATGCCCTCAGGAATCTTGATACCTAATATGAGACACAGTAATCAAACCACAGATAAAGAGATTTGGAAGTCTCCGTGAGATAACACACTTAATTCATGGAGGGGGGTCAAGGAAGATGTTGAAAGTGAACCAAACCTTCTATATTCGTTCAACAACCTATGTAAGGTGAGGGAAGAAAGCAGTGAAGCGAGCAGGGAGAATAGTAAGAGTGGGGGCAAACTGATTTGAAAAAAAAAGTTGGGTTTATTCAGGAGACAGGGGTTGATTTAGTATGGTTAATTCTCAGTCAGCTCACGTGGTGGAGGGTTTAGACACAAAGTTGGAAATGCAAGAAGAAATCAGCAAAAAGATAATATCAGATAAAATAGGATGAGTATCTAAACTTGAAGAATCACAGTAGAAATAGTCATACCCTATCTCTCTATATTCCAAATCTGACCCACCTCAAATGACATATCCTTTATTAGATTTCCTGATTCTTCCAGCTAATGATGATGCCTTCCTTCCTTTGAACACGTCATACCCCTGTGAGTATTTTGCTTTTAGTATTTATTATATTCTGGTCTCCTCCCCTGCCTGTGGCTTATCTTTCTAGCGCAGTACCTTCAAAATAGCAAAATCTCAGCAAATCTGTGTTGAGACGCATTAAAAGCTTTTAAACCTAGAAAATTAATATTTTTTTCACATTTACTGTAGCTCCAGAATTATGTATTTGTTTATGTTTCTTTTGCATGAACTTTGGTAATCACTGTGCCAAATGAGAAAGTTATATCACTACATTGTTAGTTTGGGGGTGGGGGGAGAATATATCCGGTTTATATTTTGGAGCTTATCATCTGCCATTACGGTAACTCTATGAAGTTTATTTGTTTAATAATCCAGGTTAATATTTTTATTTTAATAGTCTGCCTTTAGACATTTGGCATAAAACTAAAATATTTAATATCAGTAACAGACTCAAAAAAAAAAAAAGGACACTAAAAAAGAAAAAAATTATCTATTGAGTGTTAGACTCCTGAGTAGCTGGAGGTTAGAGAGTAAAGCAATAACATTTTACTTTAAAAAAGGCCGTGCACCCTTATTTTATTGTCACAGACTTAATTATTTGGCTTCCAAGTGCCCAAATAACATTTTAGGAGGAAGCAAATGCATTAAAAAGAAAAAAAATTAAAGAAATAACTAAAATCCTGCTCAGCTAATAGTGTCAGAGCCCAGCTGTTATGGATACAAATGGTACAAAGTATCGTGATGTGCCAAGCCAAACCAGTTGGAGACCCCTGCAGTAATGATACACTGATGTTCTGTGTGCTTTCACATTGTCAAAGTGAAGAATCTTACACTTCTAAATTTAAGAAAATTCTAAAAATAATGCAATATAAAAAATACTATCCTGACATTCTTAAAACAATATTTGGGCACTGAAACTTAAATTTATAATTGAAAGATCCTTTTGCTCTCCTTTATATTTTCTTTTCATTTTTCTTTAAGCAGATTTTATTTTTTTGTTGTTAATTTTGACTTTTAGTTCTCCCACCTGTCTTTCTACACTTTTATTCTGTTTTTTTTTTTTTTTATGTCATGTCATGTCATTTCCTGCTGGTAAAATATATTTTCCTCTCTCACTCTTTTTATCTTGGTTTCCTTTTTTCACTGTGCTCTTTTAATATCCCATTTCATAGACTCTTTTTCTCTCTGTGTGTATGAAAGCTTTCATTCTACCATAACATGGCACTCGATTTTTAGAAACAATTTTAAATGTGGTTCTATACATCACAATTTTGCACCTTACTCAATGGTTTTCTTAAGCCCCTTAATTAACATCTAGTGTAGATCAGAGCAATAGACTGGCTGGTCCCACACTAACAAAAGAGTACTCACCAAAAATCTTCTGATTTATTATGCTGATGGAGTAGAAAGTATCAAGAATGAGGATTAGGAAGAAGACTGATTCTCTAGATTTAATTTTTTTTTCTGAAGAATACTTTTGAAAATATCTTCTAGTTTCTTCTTTTTTTTAATAAGAAAAAAATTCTTAAAGTTTTGATTTCTGTACTTTGATGATTATGCTAATATTTAAATATAAAAAGAAAGAATTCATTCCCATGAGTGAAGAATGATTTTATTAACAAAAAAATTTATTGATAATTATCTTGTGAATAATGAACATAGTTGGAATCATAGAATATGATGAGGTTTTTGTTTATTTGTTTTTACCTAAAACTAAAAAGCATGGGCATGTAACATATATCATTTTTTGACAAAATTCTCAAAACTATCAATGATTATGTCTACTTACCCTGTAAAAGCTATTTGAAAATGAATTTTAAAAAGAAAAAAGCAACTTTCTATAGTTAGGCTACCCACTTCATAGATGCTTCATCTGTGGAGGCAGAAAAAGCGTATTCCACGTCTATTCTGATAGCATCATTTAGCTACATAACATGTCAGTGTGAAGAAAACATGTTTTCAATTATTTTTTAACAAATATTATTAAGTAGTTACTATGATTTGAACTCCTCATGGTCTAAAGGGTGAGAGGAGGAGGAGTACATGTGGGAGGACAGACCATCCAATAGCCATACTAGAATGTGAAAGGTCACATTCGTAATTAACACTCCCTGCTCTGTTGCTAAGGAGCACATAGAGACATCTAATTCTGGTCTATACTGAAGGATGAAAAAAATGAGTGAGTGAGTAAGGTGGAGGCAGAAGCAGCAGCAAATATACAGGTACAAATAGTTAACATAAGAAAGCAATGGCAGGGGCACTGGCTGTCTATGTCAGAAGAGCATGTGACTCTTGATCTCTGGGGATTGTGAGTTCAAGCCCCAGGTTGGGTGTAGAGATTACTTTAAATAAATAAATAAATAAATAAATAAATAAATAAATAAATAAATAAATAAATAAATAAAAGTAATGGCAGATTCTAGCAAGTGCAAAAGTATCATGTAGTTGGATCTCAGGGTGGGTGCCTACATGAGGAGGGAGCAGAAAGGGGGGAGAAAAATCAGCAGGAAGATTGGCAGCCATTTACTAAGAACCACATCTGGAGGGGCCTTGGGTACCATTGCCAACAAAGTGTGGGTTTGAACCGAACACAGTGATGAATCTTTTGAGGATTTTAAATCGGAAAGTGACAACGATCACATGATCGCTGTGTATATAACTGACTGGTGAGGAGGACAAGAATGGAAGAAGGGAGACCATTTATGAGCTATACAGTATTTCAGGTGAGCTTGCCAGTTGTCTGAAATGAGGCAGCGGTTACGTTGCAGATGGAAAGTAGAGGACAGATCTATAGGAAATTCAGAAGACAGTATTGACAGGACTTGATAATTGAGAGACTGTGAAAGTTAATGGAGAGCGAAGAATCGATGATACTCTTTAGGCTCCGAGGATGAGTAAATAGGTGACGAGTAGTACGGTTGGACAAGATGCAAATACAGAAATAGGTTTGAGTGAGCAAATTATTACACTTGGAGCCATCAGCAGAAGGTCAAATGGAGGAATTAAGAAAGTTTGGATATGTGAGTTTTAATACCAGGAGCAAATTTTTGTCCAGAGACAGCAAATTAGGGAGCATCAATATAGAGGTGGCTGTTGCAACAGAGGAAGGATAAATTCACCTGACCCTTAGTACTGTGAGTGGAGTCGTGTGGAGATGGAGCCCACAAAGGAGTCCAGGGAGAAGGAATGGATTAGTGAGCTGGGCACAAATCCAGAGGGAATTGAGTTTCTCCCGCCAGAGTATAGGGACATGTGTTTCTCTATATTCTTGATTAGTTTTATTCTGTGACCCTTGATTCAAGCTCAAATAGATCCTGTCTACAGGGGCAAAAAGGTAACAAAGCCTGTCCTATATTCTAAGCATGTCCAGCTACGTAAGCAGAATCATTTCTATTTCAGTAACATTGAAAAGAAGAAGCAGTAGAGAGAAAATGAAAAGGCAGAATACCATACTTGATTCACAAATTCCACCTGAAAAAAGACACAGTCACTCTCTGTTATATTCCAATCTGGGAAAATTGCATCGTAGCATAGGGGAAGGCCATTTGGAGACTTCATAAGAAACTATGCCGATACTTAACATTATTTACCCAATACTTCTGGGGTTGTTTGTCATTCTAAAAATAAAACTTGGCTGAGAGGTGAAATGTGAATGCAAACCTTATAATGGAAACCTGTCAGGAGACAGGTGACATTCTATTGTATTAATAGTAATATCCTCTGTGATCTTCCTCCTTGCTTTCCTCCCTCTTCTCATAGCTCCCTCTAAATGTACATCTTACTCAGCATCATTCTTAACAGTAATACATATTTCCATGTATCTGCTTCTAAACCCTCTTCACTTGACCGAGTTTTTTGGAGGGAGGATATAGAGGCAGAGGGAGAACTATTTAGTGCCAAATGTGCTTCAGTAACTTTGAAGCATGTTCTTCTACAGTAATCCAGGAATAACACCCACATTATTCTTCATTATTCACTTTTGGTGAGGAAAAACCTCCAGCAGGTTGGGAAAACTCCAGTTTTTATCTTGGATCCTTATGTTGGTAGGGTCCCAAATCCTGCTTATTGATAGAGGAGGCACCTTGTTCATGATCATCCCTCAGCCCTGACCCTTGTCATCTCCTAGCCTGCTAAAGCAAGGAATGACAGCTACCACTTTGCCTTTTTCACAGTTGTTGTCAATCAGTGGATGACTATCTAGTAAGGGAATGAGAAGCCACATGTATGAATGGATGAGGTCATAGCTTTGTCAAGCATCAGAGCTTGAAATATTTGAAAATGAATAGCTACAGTCTGAGTAGCTACTATGTGGCATATATCGGGTCAGGACTTTGCAACAATTCTGAAAATTAAATGACATTGTCCAAATTTAAAGGAAGGGAAAACAGGTTAAGATTTTATCGCCCAGCTACAAGGTGCCAGGCCAAGATTCAAAACCTTGATTTTGTGACTTCCAAATGCATACTCTTCCCAATATAGCTGAGAGAGAAGGTTTATGGTCAATACCAGTAGATATTCATGTTTACCAATTGGTAATCTAAATAATGAAATAGAATTATAAAATTGCCCTATTAATTCCCTACTGATCCACTTTGTTCCAGCCTCAATTACCTTCTTTTCCACCTGAGGGACTTCCCATCAATTGTTTGTCCTGATATTTTTCTTCCCCTCTTCCCACAGCTGCCTTATAATTTCTTTATCACTTCATCATAGAAAACTTCCCTACTCACCCAACACACTAGTCACTCTCTGTTATATCAAACTACTCTATGACCAATTTCAAATATCTCTTTAAAATATTAACAGTATCTAACTTTATTGTGTTTATTTCTTTGCTTTATTTTTTCCTTGCCCCTCCATTCCCAACACGATGTAAGCTCTGTAAGGGTAAGGATCTTGTTGGTCTTCCTAGCATGAGTAGTTTCTGGTGTAATAGTATGGACCTGAAAACAAAGTTTGCTGTATGATAAAAAACAAGAAAGGAAAGTAAGGGAGGGTAAAAAAAAAAGGGGGGGGGATAGGTTTGTTCAAGTAATTACCTAGATTTTTCCATTCCAATCTGGGAAAATTGCATTGTGCATTTAGACATTGTTTTTAAATGATTGTATATGTATGCATGTGCACGTGTCACACAAAACTAAGTAAGGCATGAAGATTTAAAAAGCATTTGTCAGAGCCTTATACTGAGATGTAATAGATTCTTTCTCATGCAGGGTTTGATTTGAGAAATACAGTAATGTTTTCATGAAGGAAAAAAGCATATAAGGTATGGTCATAGTAATTGAAATGGTTTTTCTTGCATTGAAATATTGTCATTGACTTTATTGATCCTCTGATTTAGAAATTTAATTTGTAAGGAGGAAAATGAGGTGATTTCGGTATTATTTCTATAATATATCAACAACTTATAAAATAAAATTACTATCTGTTCATTCCAGTATTTAAAATGACCCCAGACTCTTTAGTTTAAAATGTATAATAATTTGACAGCATTTTATATTAACAGACTAGATAGATATTCTTCTCATTTTGAAGATGATTAAACAGAGGCAAAAAAAAAAAAAAAAAAACTAAAGTAAGTCACTCAGCAGCCATTTCAGTATAAATGATATGGAAGTCCAATTTTCCTGATTATTATGCAATGTCCCTAGGCCACAAGCTAACAGTAGTTTTCATTGCAAATAACATGATGGTGCAAACACAGTACATAACAACAAGTCAACAAAGATTAGAAAACTTTCACAGTTTTTTAATTCACAACAGCATTAGATACATTGAGGTTACTGGTATATATGAATACATAAGATCCTTGACATTCACATATTTTATTTATCTACATATGTTGTAAACATTAATTATATTACCTTTATATACCAAATTTGGATTTTTATTTATTTTCATATAGCTCCACTTCAAAATATTAAATGGTGACTCTGTGTTCATTACCATCTTGATTTGTACAGTTTGAGTGTACAAATTATTTTTTAAAATGAGCATTTACTATACAATTTTCTGTTGTACAAAAATAAGAATGAAATTTTAAAAATTGCAAATACTGATACTAATGACAAGATGTTGGATATTCATACTTAGAGATTGAAAAAAGAGTGGAAATCAAGAGGTGTGGCCATAAGCTGCAGCTGTTTAGCTCACTTGAGCTTTCTATTTTCAGTCCTCAGGAAAAGAACAAAATTATATAAAATGAGATATATCACTGAAGCTAAAGATATATCATTAAAGAGGTTGACATATAAAGGTGATATATTATTCATGATTTCACCTTTTTTTTTTAGTTCTCTGAGATTGGACTACTTCATTTGACATGTTGCATGTATCGTTGGAAAGTAGTGAGCTAATATGTATCTCATTTTCAGTGAAAATGCTATCTTTTCACCCTTAGATCACTCTAACCTGAAGGGTACAAAAATTGTATCCTACCTTTTACACACACACACACACACACACACAAATTCTTAGTAAATCCTTTGCTGCAATTAGGCTCTAAATTCCAGCAGTGGGTAGAGCTTGACCTAAAACCTACCCTTACTCCTTGCCTCCCCTTACACCTGGCCCCATTGCTTCCCAATCCATCCGTCCAACTACCTGGAAAGCAATATTCTTTGTGATCAAATATACAAGTTCTGATTCTAGACTGCTTGGATTTAGAACCTGACACTGGCATTTATTTGCTGCTTGACCTTGAGCAATTTATTCACTGTGCTTCAGTTTCCCCTTCCACATAATGGAATAATTAGAGTACTTATTTTTGGAGGATCAAGTCCATTAATACACCTAAATATTTTAGAATGGTGTTCACCACATAATTTGTCATTTTTATTACATGTGTTTTTCAAAATATAGGTATCCACACATTTAGAAGTCTTTTTCTTAATATAAACTCATCTTTGCTGTTTAGCAACTAATGAATTTAATTATGCTTTTCAAATTTCACACAACTGGTTGAACAGCTTTGATTACCTTTTAAGAGATAAACTAAAGTATGTATCCTCAGAGCAATTGAAACAACATATAATGTACTAAAGTTACAAAGAAAAAAATCTGGCTGTTCAGTGATTCTTCTGAACTCCTATGGAAATAATAAATATGGATAATCAGAAAAGTACCTTAAATATTCTCTAGTCAGAAGCCAGATCATGTAGGCATTTAAAATTAAAACAAGCATCTTGAATTATATTCACATGCAAAGCAGAAAAAAAATATGCACCATATTGAGTTCAGATGCAACAAGCTGAACATGTGCTACAGAGCTAAATGAGTAATGCAATTTTTACACTGGGTCCACGCAAACTTTACAGTTGCAGAAAATAAGGATATGGCAAAAAGCAATCTGGAAATGTCATAGCCAAATCAATAATTAAGAGGAAAGTTCATCACCTCCTACTCAAATATCAATACAAAATATATTGAAATACTGATTAGCATGGAGAAATACAATATATGATATAATGTATATGATATATACATTAGGACTAACATTTTTAACAAGGCATTCACTCAGATTTAGGAAACATAAATAAGAAACAACTCTAATTTGTGCTCTGGTCTTTTTGCCTACAAGCCTATGAGCTTCACTTGGACTTGAGCCCTGGGAAAATCACCAAGTTGCACACTGTGGTACAGAGAAGCTGAATGCATCAGTTTTATTGACCAGACAGCCAAAAGTGAGTTTTTCAACTAATTTCCTATATCATTAATAGATTATTTTCCTAGTAGTTAACTACTAAATTGTATAAGGCCATGATTTCTCTATGACTTATCTGTTTTACCCAAGAAACACTTCAAAAATAATTTATCCATAGTTTAATATACTAGAACATGGGTCAAATGGGATCAAGATTGTGAAAATAATAAATTCAAAAAGCTTTGTTTTTTATTTTTCCCGCCAATTGTTCCTTCTTTCCCATTATTCTTCAATGTTTAAAACTCTTGCTGAGGATCAGCTCCCTGATAAACCCAATCACAGAAGAAGGACTGATGCCAAGTTCCTAGGTGAACTCAGTCACTTAGAAAGAGCAAACTAGAAGGTAGGTCATTTATTTATGCTGGAGTCATGTGAGAGCTAATAAGTAGGAATAAATCAAATAGGAGAGAAAATACAAATGCCCAAATCATCACTAAATAGTAATAAAGAGATCCATGTTAGAGATACTGCAGAAGCTGGATTGGACTCTGAAGGAAGAACCAAGTCAACAAGTCAAGTCAAAAGTGAAATGTGGATATCCTATACAAGGGGAAGATTCTAGAAACAACAATAGGCATTATAGGAAGACCATTAAGGTGAATATATGTCCAGATTAGTAAATTTTTAATTCTCAGAAAAGGAGATTTTGACACTATTAGTGAAGGCTAAGGCTCAAAATGTCCTGCTATATTACTTACCATGTTTTTGTTTATTAGTAACAGAATAACTGATCTACAGTGCCTTTTAAAAACTAAAGAAATCTATTATCTCACATATGGAGAAAATCAGAGGAAGAGCTGCTTTAGCCAAGACATGATATAGTGTGATATGATGTCACAAAAGACTCAGTTCCTCTACATTTAATTGCCCTGCCTTCCATGTTTCTCCCTGTGATTTAAGATGATTGCAGAAGCTCTGGGGCCTAGTTCATTCACTTCCACCAGCAATGAGAGCATCTTTAAACCTAGGATTTCCTACAAAACTTGGAGCTACAATGGTAAATACCCTGGATCTTTGGTTTTTAATCTGCAACTAAAGAATAAAGATCACTGAAATAGACCAGTCTTATGGTTTCTTCTTTCCCCTAATCCCTTTCAAAACAAAACAGAATAGACTTCAGTGACTCTGCACATGCTTTGATCATCGTGGGATTCTACCACCCATTCTCACATACCTGCATGGACATGATCCAAGTTGGGTCGAGCAGTATGGACAACAGGAAAGAGGACTCTTTCATGTATGGATATTGGGAGCAAGAAATTCTCTTTCTGCTGGGGTTTCTAACTAGGAACAACATGTGTTCTTCATATGAATGACTTGAAAATAACCAGCATTTTGCAGCAACACAAGACAAAGGAAACACCACTCTTAGAATACCCAGTCATAGGAATCAATAAATTCTCTTTTTACTTAAGATGGTTTCAACTGAATTTCTATCACTTGTACCTGAAAAAATTCCTAACTAATAAATATATTTATATCACATACGGCAACCTCTTCAATGATGCTGTGAATAATTACTAGTTGTTTTTGGCCCAATATCAGAATGATTTCCTAATAAAACTAAGTGATATAACAACTTTACATTTTGTTTTTCAGCAAATTCCACTGCTGTTTGGATGTTAATTTTCAAATTCTTGGCATGCACCAGTATTCCATGTTCAGGTCCCAAATTTTGCATTCTGCAGTAATTATACACTCACCACAAAGCATCATACCACCTAATCTCATAGAAAAATGTAAAACATTTTATAATAATAACAGGCTTTAAAAGATAAGCAATTAGAAATATTTTTACTGACCAGTTTTATCCAACTTCAGTAAACTAAGCATTCTTCCCTTCCGTAGTTTTATCCGTTTTCTTCTAAATGGCAAATGAAACAACAATCAAATATAAAAAATGAAGGCTGCTATATCTTCAGTGAGACATGGGGACAGTCACAGCCCAAATCACAGTCTCCAAATAGAAATTAAAAAAAAAAAATTATTGGGACCAAAATGGCAGAAGGTGTCAGGAGCAAGTACAAAGTTCTAGAGATACTTTAAATAGTGCAGAGTTCCCTCAAAGTAGATGACACAGCTCTGAAAGGATCATGGAAACCTTACTTGAAAGGTGTGAGTGGAATACAGGTCCTCTAAAGCAAGGCTGATGAGGGAGGGAAGGCTGAATAAGAAGCTACATAGATATGTCATCTTTTCAGAAAGTGGACAAGAAGAGAGTCATTTGGTGATAGCTAATCAAAGCCAGGCAAAAATAAATAGCTGCTAAATATATCATAGACACCTGGAGCATAGGGCTTTCCTGTGAAAACTCTGAAGACTTTCTGCTCAAGACATGAGAAAGGTAAATAATGAGAGGAGACTTCCCTTGAGGAGATGACAAAACAGAGATGATGAAAGTGTGTCCTAAACTTCTGGCACTTCAGCTTTCACCTCTCATCCATAATTAATTTCAGCACATATCTGAACCAGGTACACATGCCCCATTTAAAATTAGTAAAAAATCAGAAATAAATGACATGCACAAATAAAAAATTAAATGAGTAGGAAAAGAGAAATGCAAGAAGAGAAAAGCTTATAAAGAAAATAAGACTAGAAGAAAGTTACCATGAATCAGCAGCTAGTTTCTAATTAATCAAGTCTTCTTGAGTTCAAATGAATTCTTAAAAAATGAAGAAAAAAATTAGTAAGACTAGAAATGTGAAATAAGATCACAGACTCAGAAAAAAATGTGACATAAAACAATTACAGGGGCATCTGGGTGGCTCAGTTGGTTGGACCACTGCCTTCGGCTCAGGTCATGATCCCAGGGTCCTGGGATCCAGCCCTGCATCGGGCTCCCTGCTCCGTGGGGAGCCTGCTTCTCCCTCTCCCTCTGCCTGCCTCTCTGCCTACTTGTGCTCTCTCTCTCTTTGTCAAATAAATAAATAAAATCTTAAAAAAAAAAAAATTATAGAAATCAACATTAGAAACAGTGTATACATATATACATACACATTTGTATTCTATATTTTGGGACATAATAACAAATGTGAGAGAATCAAATACAAGTTGAATAAAGAAAGACTAAATAAAACAGAGATCAAATCATAGATATTGAAGAGAAAGGAAATACAATATATGCATAATTGTTGTTACTAAATATGAGAACAGAACATATACTCAGTAATACCAGTTATGAGAACAGAACACAGTAATACATGCACATAGAACACATATTTAAAAATCCAAAGGTTTAGGTGGCTTAGTCATTAAGCATCCGCTTTGGCTCTGGTCATGATCCCAGGGTCCTGGGATCCAGCCCAGGGAGGAGCCTGCTTCTCCCTCTCCCTCTGCCTGCCCCTCCCCCTGCTTGTGTTCTCTCTCTCTCTCTCTCTCAAATAAATAAATAAAACCTTAAAAAAAATTAAAAGCATCTTATTGGCATCCAGGGGATAAATCATGCAAAAAAGAAAAATATGAATGACATTAGGCATTTGCACAGGATCCTATGTTAAAAATGAGTGAAATATTTATGAAGTACATATGAAAAAGACGCGTGACTCAAGACTTTTTATTCAGTTAAGTTGACATTTTAGTATAAAAGAAATAAATTCATGAATATGCAGGAAACCATGAAATAGAGTCCAAAAGCCTGTCTTAAAATTTTGATTATGAAATGCAAGGGAAAAAAGAGATGAATCAAAATTAAGATCTGAATAACTGAGAAGCCACAGTTGGAAAGCACTGGTGGTAAAAAAAGAAATCCACTCAGATATAAAACTAAGATTTGAAGAAAATGGAAAAATTAGTTATGAAATTCAGTGTAAATCTTAGAACCATAGAATAAACGTTAAACCTAACAAAATCAAGAAGTAACGAAAGGAGGATGTTGGAAGCACACTTGAGTTTTTTATATGAAATACATCCATGGAACCTGCTTTGGACAATAAAATGAGAGTTGAAGTGATTTGTGTGATCTCTAGGAAGAAGCTTTCAGAAATTATATACAATTAGCTAGATAGCTTTCCCTCTTTCCTAGTGACTAGCAGCATTCCAGATGGCCTAGATCTTGAGGTAAGAACAAGATAATACTGTAGTCAGTCAGTGAGTTGCCCATTAAAAACAAACAGTATGAGTGAGAAATAATATAGGCAAACATAATATAGTTATATAAGTATATTACAAAACAAAATTTGTTTAAATTTTTTTGCACTTTTTGCACATTCTAAATACAAATGATACTTTGTATGCCTGTATTTTGCATATCTATATTTTTATATATAAAAATAATTACAAATACCGTCATAAGCCATTAAAATTCAAGGTTTATTTTTTACCACCACTTTATCTAACTATTGGGGCACTTGGAACTTTCTGAAACTTTCCATGGCATAGTATTGGCTTCTGGAACTTAGCAGAATTAAATGAAAATATTCTCTCTCTTACAAAAAAAAAAAAAAAAATAGGCCATCAGTATTCTCACATATCAAGAAAATATCAGTTGAGGGTCACCTGGGTGGCTCAGTTGGTTAAGCATCTGCCTTTGGCTCAGGTCATAATCCCAGGGCCCTGGGATCAAGTCCCACATTGGGCTCCTTGCTCAGTGGGGAGCCTGCTTCTCCCTCTACCTGCTGCTCCCCCTGCTTGTGCTCTCTCCCTCTCTTTCTGAAAATAAATAAATAAATAAAATACTTTAAAAAAAAAGAAAATATCAGTTGACAATCAAAGATTATCAAACACACACAGAATCTTGCTCTCAGGAGTAAAAGTGAGCAAAAACAACAGTAAAAACATTGATAATTATATGGACTTTAGATATTGAAATTATCAGTCACATAATATAAAATAAATATGAAAGTCTGAATAACCTAGAATGCAGCACATTTAAAAGAGAAATAGAGTATATATAGAGAAGGCATCATACGTCTCTAACCTGAGTCCCACAAAGAGAACATAAAAAAAGAAAAATAACATTTGAAGAGATCAAGACTGCGA